ATTTATCTGACGCGCTCTCTTAGTTTATAACTTAAATACAAACTTTTGTCTGTTGCGTGCGTAGGTTCTGTCAATATATTATGTATGTGTACATACATACATAGGTATACTATACACATTGAAATCATAGTTGATTGTAGTATTAAAGTGTACAAGTTTCATAATTATCATAGTCGACACTTGCATATTCATTCATCAGTCAGTAATAATAATAAAAAAATAAGCATTACGTACATATGTAACATAGGTTGAGTGTCTAACAGAAATCATATTAAAAAAAAATATTGTTTGCCACTCGATGACTCGTTCTCGCGTTCGGTTTGTGTGAACGGCTAAGTAAAAATATTTATTATTTATAATGATAACACTTAATACGGATAAAAGATAATTTATATATATATATATATATATATATATATATACATACACATACATACGTATACAGGTGTTTATATGATTGATTGATATGTGCGTACCTACCTACCTATGAATGTGCGTGTGCGTACCAGTCAAAATCATTACATAATATATATAAATTATAATAATAATAATAATAATAATAATAAATTAAGAGACGGGTTGCGTGCCGAAAGAAATTTCGCCCTGCCTGCCCGCACGGTGCCCGACATGGAATAGACTGAGCGGTGTTGTGTTGTGGACGCGATTGCGATGCGATGCACCTCTTTTTCGGTGCGTCATATCGCAATGGTATATGTTTGTTATTAATATTTTAATAAAAATTATATTTTTATACTATTGAATAGTAATAGCATCAATCACAAACGACACTCACTCTGTTGTGATTCTCATTTTCGATATAGCGAGGTTCATATTGCGGCACGAGTGGAGCGTGTTTTACGATAGTTGCGATAACTGCAATATTTACGTCTAGAAGACATTGCAAAAACTAAGAACACCCGTTACTATTGAGGCCCTGTATGTTACCTTTCGTTGGGACGCGTAATAAACTAATGTTAATTAGTTTTAATACAAGAAAATTAACATTTAAACGAACCCCTAGGTACGTGTGATAGTCGATGACGAAAATAAACGTCCACCGTACTTTACGCGTCGCACGGAAACTATCGCGATCGCTTTCGTATTATAAAGAAACTAATGAAGATTGAGATGGTTATAAATTAAGAACTATAATATTATCAACGATTTTTATAAACAATTATTTTTACAACAATGTTAGTGAAAACTTGTAAGCGTTAACACGGGAAAATGTCCAACGACACGCCGGTCCTCTTTACGGTATTGCCTCGCAACTTCCACGTGAACCGCACCGATACTGTGGCGACATCTGTCTGTCGCGCGCGCGCTCGGATTTACACCCCCCACGCCACAGTGTTGAGAGTGTGTAACTTTTCTATCTACATATATAAACACTACCACCTACATACAAATTTGAATTTTGTATTTACATTTTGTACACGAACGACGAAGAGAGAAAATCATGGCCGATACAGCAGTCGCGTCCGAAACTCCCGCACCGGCGACGCCGGCTAAGAAACCGAAAGCCTCCGCTGCGGGTGGACCCAAGAAGCCCAAACCTAAACCGACGCATCCGAAGACTTCCGAAATGGTTAACAGCGCCATCAAGGAGCTCAAGGAGAGGAGCGGGTCATCGTTACAAGCTATAAAGAAGTACATAGCCGCCCAGTACGACGTAGACGCCGAGAAGATGGCGCCGTTCATAAGGAAATATCTGAAGAGCGCCGTTGAATCCGGTGCCCTGATACAGACCAAGGGCAAGGGAGCTTCCGGTTCGTTCAAGCTGGAGTCTAAATCGTCCGCGGCGAAGAAACCGGCCGCGGGCAAGGGCGCCGCCGCTAAAGGTGCCGCCGCATCCGCGAAACCGAAGAAATCTGCAACAGCCGCCGCAGGCGGCAGGGCTAAGAAGGGGGCCGCTTCGGCTTCTCCTTCCAAATCGAAGTCGTCCGCAGCCTCCTCGGCGAAGGACAAGAAGGCCGCCGCCGCTGCGGCCGCTGCTGCGGCCAAGAAGAAGGCTGCCGCCAAGAAGTCCTCTTCGGCGGCCGCCGTTAAAGGTAAGGGCGCCGCGGCCGCGCCCAAAGCGAAGAAGACCGCCAAGCCGCCGACGAAGAAACCTAAAGCGCCCAAACCGAAGAAGGCCGCCGCCACCCCCAAGTCTAAACCGGCAGCAAAGAAAGCCGCCGCTTCCAAGAAGTAACAAGTGTTTCGACTGTGCGGGACGACGCCGGCGCTGTGCGATGTGCTTAAACACTTATATGTTATAAGTACACGTACGATGATGTACCGTGCGCGACGCATGTAACTGATGTGTGTCGCTACCGTCATCGTAGTTCTACGTGTGCTTCTTATTATTAATAATAATAATACAACATACAACCACCATCGATGAGCACGAGTGCACCACGGTTACGTCTCTTTACGTCGTACACTGTAAGAGATTCTTGCGTTGTCGTTTTCGACGGACTCGTTAGCGAACTGCGGCGCTGCTGCTGCTGCTGCTGTTGCTGCTGCACCAGCGAGCGGCGAGCGAGCGACGGAACGATCGGCGGAAAGAACTATAATACATCCAAAAAGCCCTTTTCAGGGCTAACACACTGATCGAAACTATGATAAAATATATTTCATAATGTGACAGCAGACACGTCTTTATGTATATGTATGTATGTACGTATGTATGTACGTATGTATGTATGTATGTATGTATGTACTTCAAATGTTGGCCAGATCGACGGGAATAACATTTTTGTCGATATTCCCGGCTTTTTTATAAAATTATAACATTTAGGTTGGGTTGGGTTGAGTTTGGGTTAGGTTAGGTTAGTGTATGATAAACAACGCACGAGCCGAGCGAGCGAAGCGAGCGTGCCGCGGCAGCGGCCGGCGAAGTGCCAGAAACTAATCGCTTTCGTTGAAATAAACATATTTGGTAAAACATATAATGCTACACAAATGATGTTCCCTAATATGGCCGGGAGCATCATTCAATAACATCAACTTGTTAAATGCGTGATAATAATAAATATTTGCATTTACCTGAATTCTGAAATCGATGTCTCGTCGTGATCGTCGTCGGCGGTAACGGCAGCGGCAGCGGCAGCGGCACCAGTAGAAACATCCCGTTGTTTGTCTCCACGGATATGCTACGGCTACGGTAAATTTTTGTCTACGGAACTACGGCTTGAATTTCGGAATTTAATCGGTCACTGAAAAACAAACAAACAAACAAACAAATAAATCAGATCAAATAAAAAAATAAATAAAAAAAATACATATTCATCCAGAAGAAGAACAAACTAATCTATCTATTCAGAAGATATCAAGTTATTATTTCACTCCATTCGCATATCCTAAAATGACCTGACAATTTTTCACATTAAATACAAAGCGAAACTTCGATTGTTACAAAAAAAATAAATAAATTAATTAATTAATAAGAAACTAACACACATTCTATATTAAGTGCATTCGATGAACACCAGGTATTATTATTTTAGACGATTTATATTATTGTAATAGACGACGGCGGGAACGAGTCACATATTGTATATCTGTCTCTGTCGCGCATCTTCAATCTCTACAATCGCTCCGCTACTACGTCAGTAGCGATTCCGTATATATGTATATAACGGGGTGAAATTTTTGCCAGGCGCTCATTCCGCTCTTCGCACTCGTCGCGCACACATAACGTTCGCTCGCTACGTACGTACACGACTGCGTGTGCGTGCCTATTTTTCTAACTCGTCAGATCAACCCCCTCGGTTTTCGACATGTCCGGCAGAGGTAAAGGAGGCAAAGTCAAGGGGAAGGTCAAGTCTCGCTCCAATCGCGCTGGACTCCAGTTCCCCGTTGGACGTATACACAGATTGTTGCGTAAGGGCAATTACGCTGAGCGTGTCGGTGCCGGTGCACCGGTCTACTTGGCTGCCGTCATGGAATATCTAGCCGCTGAAGTTCTAGAGTTGGCCGGCAACGCCGCTCGCGACAACAAGAAAACTAGGATTATCCCTAGGCATCTCCAACTCGCCATCCGCAACGACGAGGAGTTGAACAAGCTCCTCTCCGGTGTGACTATCGCACAGGGCGGTGTGCTTCCCAATATTCAGGCGGTGCTCCTTCCCAAGAAGACAGAGAAGAAGGCCTAAACTATCGCCTACCGTCGATACCGCTCGGTGTCATCAGTGTGTAGAGTCGCGAAGCGACCGTCACGCATTCGCTACAAAAGGCCCTTTTCAGGGCCACAATATGATTCTATGAGAATATTGAGAAGAATTTCATTTACGGTACGGTGTTTATGTCTTTCAAGGGATTATAAAATAAATAAATAATATTATAGATATAATACATAAACTAGGCAGAAAAGTCGTCTCTACAATTTTCAAAACAATTATTTATTATATGATAAACAGTTTTGTCTTGAGTTATGAACGACTGTTATTTATTATGGCATTACAGTACTTGGAATGATTTGAAATACATCATCATAAAAAATATACGTAAGTTAGTACGATACGAATTGTAATTTTATAATTAAGAAGATACAAACGATAAATACTTATGATAATGTACCACTAACTATATCTTCACCGAATAATAAAATTGATCGTTTAATATAAACAGAATTAACTGTATATATAGATTTTTTTATGTTTGTTTGTTCGTTCGTTCGTTTCTATCTGTGCGAAATTAAGAGACGCGCGGGGGGTGTTTGTTTCGTACGACACAACACACACCAATACGAATAAAGCGCGCGCTTACGTACGACTCACTACGATCCCCACCTCGATTAGCTAGCTGCCAGTAGCTGCCTGGAGGGGACACTACATATAAATGTGAACCGAATCGCGATTGGTCAACAGTCTGTCATCGATCGTGGATAGTTGCGTGCGAACAAAACTAACCATTATAACGGTCAATAAAATTTTTTCGATCATACACGACTCTCTGGCGTCGCGTCCTAGTAGCGTTTAACTGTCTGTCTATCTAACTGATTATTAATATTCACCATGCCCCCTAAGACTAGCGGAAAGGCGGCCAAGAAGTCCGGCAAGGCCCAAAAGAACATCTCTAAGACGGACAAGAAAAAGAAGAAGCACAAGAGGAAGGAGAGCTACGCCATCTATATCTACAAGGTGCTCAAGCAGGTCCACCCAGACACCGGTATATCCAGTAAGGCGATGTCGATCATGAACTCTTTCGTGAACGATATCTTCGAACGTATCGCAGCGGAGGCGTCTCGTCTCGCTCATTACAACAAACGTTCGACAATAACCTCCAGGGAGGTGCAAACCTCTGTGAGATTGTTGCTGCCCGGTGAGCTCGCCAAACACGCCGTCAGCGAGGGCACAAAGGCCGTCACGAAGTACACCAGCTCCAAGTGAGGAGTGCCGTGTCGTCCTCAAAGTGCAGTGCCAGTGCATCGTACGCGTGTTGAAACTACTAAAAGGCCCTTTTCAGGGCCACAAATCGCTATCCGTATACAGTGAGATATTTTCATGGGGAGAGTGGTGCGTCTATCTATATATATATCTTTTAGAGTCTAATCTATCTAGTCGACACTTTCGATCGGCTCTGATGGATAATATATGTTAGTTATTAATAAATAAATAAATAAATAAATACATACACACATACATACATACATACATACATACATACATACATCCATCCATCCATCCATCCATCTATCTATCTATCCATATGTACGTTACTTTCGTTCGTTAAGTTCATCCATATGTTAATTACATATAATAATGTGATTTAACGTCGTCATTTGATATGACAGTTAATTGTCGAGGAATAGAAATCTTTTTAAGAGGACATACGTACGTACTATTACTATTTTGTCTATTGTAGGTCACGTGACCAGGTTAGAAATTTTATTTTATTTCACTTCATTTCACATTTCATTTCATTCCAAAACGATAGACGACGAAAAAAAAAAAAAAAAAAAAAACCTCATTCATAAATATCATTATCCCCAGTACCCGACACTCGACCACTCACCACTCACCAATTTTCTTAATGAAGTGATCAGTGATCTCTTTTCTTTCTGTCAGTCGGTCGCCGCTCGCTCAACGTACGAACGAACAAGCGTTCGCTGTAAGTTTTTATCGTCACTTCTCTACACACACCCACCCACAAGAAAGAAAAATGACCGGTCGCGGTAAGGGAGGCAAGGGGCTCGGAAAAGGTGGCGCCAAGCGTCACAGGAAAGTTCTCCGCGATAACATCCAGGGTATCACCAAGCCCGCCATTCGTCGTCTCGCACGCAGAGGAGGCGTGAAGCGCATCTCCGGTCTCATATACGAGGAGACTCGCGGTGTCCTGAAGGTTTTCCTCGAGAACGTGATTCGTGACGCCGTTACGTACACTGAACACGCCAAAAGGAAGACCGTCACCGCCATGGACGTCGTCTACGCCCTGAAGCGTCAGGGACGCACCCTTTACGGTTTCGGTGGTTAAAGGATTCTTCTCTACCGGACGGACTGCCCGGCCGGCCGGCCGACGCGACGAGCGCAATATATTCTTTTCCCGTCGCTTCTATTATTATACACCACCTATTTCACATAAGCGAGTCTTCATCGCCTTGTGTTATTGAAGATTTTGCTTGTTTTTTTGGGTGGTTTTTAATAATATGCCGCGCGGGCGGAGTTGAGCGCGTGCTCTCGCGTCGCCTTTACAAACCGGCTTATCCGTCCGATCAGATTAGGACTATTATATATAATAACCATCCAACCGACCAAACAAAAGGCCCTTTTCAGGGCCGCAAGAGTTTCTTATGACGCCTATCGTGTGATCGTGATTGGCAAATATTTCTACGGACATGTACGTGCGTGCGTCTGTCTCTCTGTCTCTGCGTCTTCTGTTTCACACGTTAAAATAAATATAAAATCACGCTTTGGGAATGGTAGGTTTTTAATTATTATACATATATTCAATATTAATTTATCTGACGCGCTCTCTTAGTTTATAACTTAAATACAAACTTTTGTCTGTTGCGTGCGTAGGTTCTGTCAATATATTATGTATGTGTACATACATACATACATAGGTATACTATACACATTGAAATCATAGTTGATTGTAGTATTAAAGTGTACAAGTTTCATAATTATCATAGTCGACACTTGCATATTCATTCATCAGTCAGTAATAATAATAAAAAAATAAGCATTACGTACATATGTAACATAGGTTGAGTGTCTAACAGAAATCATATTAAAAAAAAATATTGTTTGCCACTCGATGACTCGTTCTCGCGTTCGGTTTGTGTGAACGGCTAAGTAAAAATATTTATTATTTATAATGATAACACTTAATCGGGGTTCGGATTGATCTTCCATAATTAGCTATTAGTAACTATCGTGAGCGTATGTGGGGATGTGTCGGATCAAATAATAACACTAGGATAATGCTTTCACAAATCTTCTAATTACAATCCAAAACAATTATAACAACTTCTTTCACTATAATTAGAATTACTTAAATTAGTTTTAATATACACAACGGAACGCGAGACAGTCTCAACGCACACACAGCCCGCCAAATTCTTATTATTCTTTTTTACTGTTCTTCGATAACAAACAGGTCATAGACTCCTTTGACAGCCCGCGTCCATCATTTTGGCGCGAAGCTTTATTACCAGCACTGTGAAGCGTAGATTCTGTCGAACGCCGATAGATGGCGTTGGCATTCCGATATAAAAATAGACTCGTTGACGACACGGCCATCCTGCTAGCACACGCCCTCGTGTGTCAACCTATTGTCAAACAAAACAAAAAAAACACCCAGTGTATAATGTGTTTTGTATCGTTCGGTCATTCCTGACCAACTACCAAGTATGTTTTTACAATTTTATTTCTACTACTATTAACAAAGAACTCTTTTTTTATTTTATTTAATCTCTACACTTTGCTATTTCTTTAGATTGTTAACTGATCAATTTACATCTTTTTTATTATATTACATTAAAATTAAATTTGAAACTGTGAGGAGTCATGTACCATCGTTATCTCACAATAATTAAAACATATAACACTAACATATTAACTTCCAAAATACCCGAGTAAATATCTCTACCGCCACGGCCTCCATAGCCGATGAGTCATCACCAACTCTCTCTCTCAGACGCGCATTTACCATTGTAAATCGCACATGTGCATCTCTCTTAGACTACACACGAGACGGTCTATACAGACCACGACCTCCGCTAGTACTACACGCCCACCGCACACCCACGGACTACTTGAGTTGCCCCAAGAGACACCGACTTCCAACGGGCTACGGCTACGTATTAGTTACTAGTACGGTCGACTTTCTACGGCCGGCAGAGTTCTTACTCACATTCACATTACTCAATTAAACTCAATTATCATCATTAGACATTTCATTAAACTCCACTTCGTCTTCGACTGGTACATGTCCCTCTGGCATCTTACGTAAACGATCATGAGCATACTTGTAATTACGTTTACTATTCAAGGCTTGTAACGTATAACGATCCCCATCCAAAACTTCAATTACTTTAAACGGGCCCTTGAATTTTGGGTCGAGTTTGATTTGATTTCTTTCCTCATTCTGTAATAACACGAAATCACCTACTGAAAACTTTGTTATGTGAGCTTTGGTTTTGTCAAACCTTTCCTTTTCATATACGGCAGATCTCTGAATATTGTCAGATGCCTGTTTACGCAGTTCGTCGATATCAATTTGTGTTTCTACCTCGCTACACATTAACGACAACGGTCTCGCAACTTTACCTATTAAAAGCTCTAAAGGTGAAGCTTTAGTAACGCGGTTCATTGTACAGTTAATTGCAATTTGTACCTCACCTAATGCATCCTGCCAGGACTTACTATCACTAGTCTCTACCGCGGTTAACATTGCTTTCAGGACACCCATCACTCGCTCTACTTGACCATTTGCGCGAGAACTACCGGTAGCAATTAGATGCAGATTAATATTTTTAGTTTCGCAGTACTCTTTAAACTCTTTACTCGCAAAACATCTACCCTGGTCAGCTATAAGCCGAGTCGGAGCCCCAAAAAGAGCAACCGATTGATTTACCGCACGAATACTGTTTTTGGAGTCAATGTTTGCTGTGTGAAAAAGAAGTACGTACTTCGTAAATGCGTCAATTAGGACAAAAACGTATTCTTTACGATCGTTCTTGCCGCTCAGTTTACCAGTTGCGTCGATATGAACGGTGTGCCATGGAATCGTTATTTTCGGTATCGGATGGAGCTCGGCTTGTACTTTCCCAGAATGCGACTTAGCAATTTTGCACGTTACGCAGCTATCAACAAATTTAGTTACATATTGAGCCATACCCGGGAACCAATAAAAGTCGAAAAGCTTTTCGCGTGTTTTCTCAGCACCGAGATGTACGAGTGAGTCATGATAGTTATTAATAACCGACCACCGTAAGGCTCTAGGTAAATAAGGTAAACACTTGGTCCTGCCATTACGTTGTATCTTACGATGCAAAATTCCAGAGCGAAGTACATACGTTTTAGCCAATTGTTCATTTAATTTTCCGCTCTCTAAATCATTAACAATTTTCGAGATGTCTTCGTCACGTTGTTGCTCAGCGAGAAGCCAATTAGAAGTAAGTTCAGTTACATCAATGCGCTTTTGTTCAACACGGGAAACTGGTAGATCTGATTCAGAATGTATCGGATTACGTGAAAAGAAATCAACATGTGCCATACGCGCGCCCTCTCTATAAACCACGTCAAATTCAAAGGACTGCAAAAAGGCCCACCATCTATGAGCTCGCGGAGTCAATTCATGTTTTACCTGTGAAGACTTTAAAGAGTTACAGTCGGTAACTACAATAAACTTCCTACAATGAAGGTATTGTCTAAAGTACTTTATGGAGTTAACAACAGCGAGCGTCTCTAACTCGTAAGAGTGGTATTTACTTTCCGCCGGGGTCGTTCGCTTACTGTAATAAGCTACAACATGTCGTCTACAGTCAACTATCTGAAATAATATCGCCCCATAACCTAAACTACTGGCGTCCGTATGTAGCTCTACATCATATAGGGGGTCGAAAATCATTAAAACTGGGTTACTTGTCAATTTAGAAATTATATCTTGTCTGATACTCTCATGTTCCGGTTTCCATACAATATCTCCTTTATGCGAAGTTAATTTATGAAGTGGTGCCATTGTACGGGAAAAATTTTGAATAAACTGTCTAAAATATGAAGCCAGCCCAATAAATTGCCTTACTTGTGTAACTGTTTGCGGGGGAGGTAGAGCTGTTAGAGCCTTTATCTTTCTCTGATTAGGTCTTACTTGACCAGCCTCTACTTCGAACCCCAAAAACTCTACCCTTTTCTTAAGAAAGGAACATTTTCGAAGGTTCAAAGAGAAACCAGCCTTTGTCAATGCCTTCAGAACGATATTAAGCCTCTCTACACCAGTTTCTACATCAGGGGACGCGATTAAAATATCATCAACGTAAACTATTACGAAATCATGAGCCAAATCACCTAACGCGTTCATGATAGATCGTTGAAAAACAGAGATTGCATTCTTCAGCCCAAAAGGCATTGTTAAAAATTCATACTGGCCCTCTGGAGTAACAAATGCAGTGGCCTCTATTGAATCAGTATTAACGGGAATCAAGTGAAAGCCACTTGCGCAATCTAATTTAGAAAAATAATTAGAACCACTAAGACGTGCAATCTGATCCGAAATAAGAGGAAGAGGATAGCGATCTGACACTGTGTTGCTGTTAAGTGCTCGGTAATCAATGCACATCCTGTCTGATCCATCTTGCTTCTTTACTAGAAGAGCAGGGCTCGCAAACGGCGAACAACTTGGCCTAATAATTTTAGCATCTAAAAGCTCTTTCACTCGCTCACGAAGAACTTTACGCTCATCAAATGACATCCTATAGGGTCGCCGTTGTACAGTACGATTCGGATCTATTAACTTAATTTTAAGTTCGCCCGTTGACACACGCGTAGTTGGCAAACCGCTAATAAAGTATTCGGCAAAACCGCTTAAAGTTTTTAAAAGCTCACATTTTTCATTACCTACAACGTCGGTGTCAATTACACTAAAATCAGGCGTTTGGTTGTTAACGTTACAATTTAAATTTACAACTTTAACTTTATGCAAGGAAAGGTCTGTCGCTGTCATGTTTATAAAAAAACCTAAGCTTAAAATCTCTCGTCCAATCATTATGTCACTCTGTAAATAATTATCGGGTAAAACATGAAATAAAATTTCAATGGGGTGATCGTTAATCGTTACGCAACACAATATTTGTTCTGTGCTAAATACTCGTGTCTGGCCAATGCCAGTCATAGCAATAACATTATTAACTCTTTTGCCAGAAAATTTGGCAGCAAAACTTTCTTTAATTAACGAGCATTCAGCACCAGAATCGTAAGAAAAACAATACAGCTCACCGTTATGCTCTAAGGTACCCGTAGGAGGTTGAACCA